CCTGCCAGCCCGTGTTGGAGACACAAACCTGCTTGTCAGGAGGGGATTGGTGCTGGGGGTGTGATGTGGGTGGGGAGCGAGGGGCTGTGCTGGCCACGTTCCACCAGATCTGGCTTTGGGAGAGAGATAATTGAGTATTTTCATTATTCTCCTGCCAGGTTGCTGCTGGGTGTGCTGGTGATGGAGAGGAGCAGTGTGGATAAGAGGGACTGAATGATGGATTGGTGCAGTGGTAAAGAGAATGTATTTGAGGGTAGGAAGCTGAAATCACCTGTTTAGGAGCAAATAATGGGATTTTCTTAAAGATTGGAACTCATTTGGGAGCAAGTGAGAGAGAGAGGCAGGTGTGGATGTGCTGGACCCTGCCTGGGGCAGAGTAAACAGGGAAAACTGCCCAAAACCCTTGGGAGAGTGCCCCAGGCAGAGAAGAGCAGTGCCTGAGGCTAAATGGGTATAAATTCACCGTGAATAAACTCGGGCTGTGCCTCAGGAGGACCTGGACCAGCTTTCCTCAGGTAGGGAGGCAAAGGAAAATATTTGGAGCACTCCCCATCAATGGAGGGACACATCCCCAAGGGTCTGAGGCCACCTGGACCTGGGGGTTCAGAGCCATCAGCTCCCTCTCAGCTACAGGAGCCATGCAGGGCTGGGAGAGGAAATTGCTGAAGGGGAATAATTCCCAGCTTGATTGACTGGCAGCGCGCCCTTAAAGAAAGTAATTATTTAAATGCATATTTAGTTCGTTAAGGCAGTGAATATGCATTTACACTGAGCACCTGGTAAATCTGATCCTTTTTTGGTTCAGAAGAAATGTTTAATTGCCTGTCACCAGCGCTCTGGAATTAGATTTATTTTTGTACAAGACCTAATCAGATTGCAAGTAAGATGCTAAAATCTGTTGCTTCACTAATTCAAATCAATAGAAATACTTAGGGGGAGTTTTTTACTACTCTTGGTGGTTTTGATAGGTTTTTTTCTGCCTTACCTTCTGTCTAAAAGCTTGGAGTTTTGAACTACATGAGGTCTGATTGGGAATGAGTTCTGCAATCGCCCCCCACCACCATGAATCAAATATCTATAAATACCTTTCCTTTTCCCTTCTCTCCTTTTTTTAAAGGCAGTCTCACCTTGCAGGCAGGAAGAGTTTCTCTTGCCCTGTGATATTTGCAATATTTTAGGCAGCAGACAAAGTGACCCCAGGCTCTGTCTGGTGACATGATAATTTTCTGTGTGCCCCGATGGAGTTGTTGTCAGCTGTGACAGGTTGCTGTGGGCAAGGCAGCCCTGAGCAGGGTGTTGGGAGGTCTGAGTGTGTGGTGTTCCCACTCTGGGGACCTCTGTCATCACCCAATTATAATATCCTAATTACGGTGTTTGACAGCAGTCATGGTGATCACTGATAATGGCACTGGTAGCACTTTGTGCTGTTCCCTTTATTTCTCACAGTGTCCTTGGCTTCCCCAGCACTCCTGGGACTGTCTCTGCTTTCTCCAAATTGCTGAAAACATTTGATATGTGAGAATCTTTCTATTTTGCCTTTTCCAGAGGCGCATTTTTGCTGTGGAGTTCTTTGAGCAAGCTTGCAGCAGGCAAAAGGCAATCTGAGCTCCAGCTCCTCATTAGCTGCTGCCTGACAGTGATGGGTGACCCTGGGAATTCTTGTTCAAGGCTGCTCCTCCCGTTTTTCTCAGCTCTTTCTGCCTTCACATCAGTTATCCTTTAAAGAAAAACTTAAGGAGGAGGGAGGGAGGGATTGGGGAGAGGTTTCCACCTGCCATGCATGGTGGGAGGTCACCCTTTTCTGCTTCACGAGTGTGAGAGGTGACATCCATTCCTGGCCTGATGACCGGCAGGTGCCACACAGATGGGGACCAAGTCATGTGCCAGCATCCTGCCACCCCCTCGTTCCCCTGGCAGAATTCTGGGCACACTGCTGAGTGCAGCAGTGGCCAAACACTGCATTTGTACGTGGCCTCAGCCCCACTGCCTCCTTCTGCCAGTGGCTTTGGGTGTCTGTTCAGACAATGCACAGGCAGCAGAAGAGGTAGGGGAGGGCTTGGACCTTGTTGTCATTGACTCTTTTCCCTTTAGTGGCAGGTTTGTCCTTTCAGCTGTGTTTTATGGCAGTTGAGCTGTGGGTTTGGAAGCTTTTTAAAGTGGAGTTTTAGTGTGGTTGAGTTTGTTCCTTGACCTTTAGTTGATTCCTCTGCCCTTGGCATTGCTTCCCTGCATGCTTTAGAGCCTGAAGTGATTGAACTGCATGCAGAGGTGCTTCCCAAAAGCAGCTCTGCAGGGCAGGTGGCTTTTACAGGTGGGTAACAATTACAATCCTTGTTTCTTGTCCAAGGCAGCGAAGGCTTGGCAGAGCAGGATGCAGGGAAAAGCCTCCTGTGCCTTCCTCTTGTTTGCTCAGGTCCAAATCTGAGCAGTGATGCTAATTAGATAAGGCAGATACTCTGCAGAGCAGCCTGTGCAAGGACAAACAGATTTTAATTAAGGGCTGTGTGCACTGGAAGGTCGTGTCACTGCCTTGTGCCTGGACAGTTCCTATGGGAACACCAGGACAGCACCCACAGAGTGTGAACGTGTCACCAAGTGGGCTCTGGGGCACCAAATTCACTTTGGGGTGTGGCAGATACGGTCCCACCCCTGCAATGTATTACCTGGGTTTTGTTGCTGTGGGAATGGGAACCTTCAGTTCAAAGCTCTTAAAATCACCCAACAAATTCCACACGAGTTGTACAGCAATGCCATGAATTTGGGAAATTGGCCTCCACCCCAGTTTTTTGGACTGTTTACAGCTGGTGAACTCAATTCCTCAAAGACAACCTGGATATTGGAAAGAGTTTTGTTTGGGTTGAAATTTGAGCTCAGTTTGGGTTGAAATTCAAGTTCAAGTTAGTTTGCTTCTGTCTCTGCTGCCTTCTAACTGGAATCCATCATTATCTCCAGTGCTAGTGGCTCATTCCTGCATTTCAGGTCCTCTCAAGATTCATCCCCTCTAAGCTGCCTGAAGTTAATCCTGCTGATTTGAGTACAAGCTGTTTCTTGTCTTCCTTCAGTCCCAAAGCTCCTTTTGTTTGAGATGTATCAGCAGAGGTTTATCAATACCTGATGATGATGATGATGATGATCTACAAACCATGGACCTACCTTGGGACTGATGAAATTTTGGTGGGATCCCAGGCAGAAACTCATTCTTACTCATTTTTGTGTGGTCTAGCAAGAGGATCAGCAGAGAGCAATTAAATGTTTTTCATCTTAATATTTTTATTCCTGCTATCAAACAGAAGCTGAGGCAGGGACAAATGCTGCTCTGGCACCACAAGCAGCTTTTTTGTATCATAAAATAGCCACTCAAATGAGGGCTTTGCTTTGGAATGAAATGTTTGTGTGGGAGTTTGAGGTGGGAGCTCACAGGAGCTGCTTCACAACCCCTTTCTCCCCTTGTTCCTTGGTGGCTTTGGGGACAAAGGAACAGCGAGGCAGAAGAAGTCTTTGGAGGGAGAGTTTCAAACAGGGTTTTATGCTGTTTTTCTTTTGTTGGGCAATCCTTGTGGTCATCCTGCTTTGGAGGATGCCAGGTGTGTGTTTGGAGCCACACAGAGCAGGGAGATGAGCAGGGAGATTGCCAGGGAAATGGGTTTGAATTTCAGGCAGTCGATGAGCTGCTCCTGGAGGAGCTGGCTCTGTTTCCTGGCAGCTGAGAAAGCTCTGTGCTGCCATGTGGGAGTCCAGGGCTTCCCTCTGGCTGCCCTGGGACCCTGGCAGGGGTCAGGAACCCCCCTGGACAGAGCCCCCAGAGACACTGTCTGTGATCTCTGTCTGTGGAAAAGAGTTTTCAATCTCACAGGATGAATTACCAGCTCTGAGTGTTTGATATCAGTAATAATTAAGTGTGGCATCGGTGAAAAAGTAAAATTTTAGGATTCTAGATGAGGGGTCCAAAGGGGACAGGATGGAGGAAATTGGGTGTGTCTTGTCCTTTTTCTCCTTCTTCACGCCCTCCATGTCTCACTGTGGTGTTGGCATTTTTCTGTTGGTTCAGGCTGGGGACACACTGTCCATCGTAGGTGACAGATATTGGCACGTTCTTGTAAATGCAGCCCAGGGAGTTTCTGGTGTTTAATGTTTGTCACATCCCACTGAGGGCAGAGCCCCACACGCTGCCCTGCAGGACAGAGCTGGGCAGGGCAGCAGAACATGTGAGAGATAAACAGAATAAACAACCTGGAAACCAGCACAGACCAATTATGGCTTCTGCTTTGGCAGCGGGGCTGAAAGACAGAGACTTTTACAATCTCAGAATCATCAATAGCACGGATTCTGACACTGCCTGTTTGTGGGAGAACCTGTCAGGGTTGGGGTGTCCTGCTGCACCTCCCTGTGCCCCCAGGTGGAAGGTGCTGGGTTATCATCTTTATTATTATCTTCTGACAGACCCTTGCTGTTCTGCCTCTGGACAAGGGAACTCTGTTTTTTTCCTCAGCACATGTCCACCTTTGACCTAGATAGTTTTGACTTTTGCAAACGAATTGAGCAGAAAAAGAGCAAAGAGAAGGATCAGGATAGAAGAGCAGGAACGTGCTGTGTCCATCCCCCTTGGGAAAGGGGCTGGCTTTGCAGCAGGCAGGACAATTCCAATGAAAGCTTGGGGTAGGCATGGTGTAACAACAGGGACAGCTGTGATTTAGGGCTTGCAGCACTCAGAGGGGAGTGTTTTCTCTCTCTTCAAGCAGTGTCACTGCTCACAGTGCTGTCTCTGACAGCATGGAGTGTGCCAGTGCCAGAGGTGGCAGAAAATGCACGGGAGGAGAGCTGGCCTGGAGGCCAATGTGCTGAGTGCCTGTGGAAAACCTGACAGCAGGAGAGGTAATGAAAAGCAGACACTGAGTGCTGGGAGCTGCTCAGCCAAGAAAATCTGCACAGTCCAGGGTTTTCTCTGGAATCCAGTAAAAACCTGCTACAATTTGGTTTCCCTTGCTGTTACCCCAGGGAGAATGGTCCAGGTATGAATTCCTGGATAAGTGGCTTCTGCAGCACCTGGAGGGAAAGCAGGTGTTACTGCTGGGAGCCCAGGGGCTGCCCTTGGCTGTTTGCAGATGTGGTCTGTAAATCAGAGAATCTTAGAATGGTTGGGGTTGAAAAGGACCTTAAAGACCATCTCATTCCAAACCCCTGCCACGGGCAGGAACACCTTCCACTTGCAGGTGGAATCTGTGTTCTGAGTCCAGGGCAAAATTAAAGGTGTGCAATGAAGCAAACCCTGTGACCACTGCAGAGCAGAGTGGGAGCACTGCAGTCACACTCCTCTAGAAACAATTCCCTTGTTTTTGGCAGGATGGAGGCATCCTGCCTGGAGCTGGCCCTGGAAGGAGAGCGCTTGTGCAAGGCTGGGGACTTCAAAGCTGGGACAGCCTTCTTTGAAGCAGCAGTGCAGGTGGGGACAGAGGACCTGAAGACTCTCAGTGCCATCTACAGCCAGCTGGGCAATGCCTATTTCTACCTGAAGGAGTATTCCAAGGCCCTGCTGTACCACAAGCACGACCTTACCCTGGCCAGGTGAGTGTGTCAGCACTGCTTTGTCCCCATCAGGCACAGCCTCGAGTGAGGGCAGGTTCTGTGGGGCCTGAACCCAGAAATACACATCCCAAACTGGCCCTGTGGAGAACCTGGGACTCGCCAAGGATGGGACAGCTGCCTTCAGAGCAGGGAGGTGGGGAAGGGGATGTGCATGTGAGCAGGGTGCCTGGAGCAAGAGCAGTGTCCACCTCTGTCCCCAGTACTCCCTGTAGTGACCTGCAGTCATTAGAGCAGTTCTGAAACAGCAAATTGGGAACAAGGATCTGCCTTCAGAATTGTGGGAGCCTGTGGGAAGCTCTCCAGCTAGGTGTCTGTGCTGGGAAGCTGCAGCTTAAATCTGCCTCCAGCAGATATTTTTTATTTGATAAATAAAAGTCTCTGAGCTCTTTAACACCTTCATCTTGTAGAACCATTGGGGACCGAATTGGAGAAGCCAAGGCAAGTGGCAACCTTGGGAATACCCTGAAAATCCTGGGGCAGTTTGATGAAGCTGTGGTTTGCTGCCAGAGACACTTGGACATTTCTCAGGAGCAGGGAGACAAGGTAATGGTTTCAGCAGGAAATTCTTCCTGCCTTTAAAAAGAACCTGTCTGCAAGTCAGTGAACGTGATCTGGTGAAGGTGGGCTTTGGAAGGAGCTGCAGGGTGAAGCTCTCCCTTCTGGCTGCCATCAGACATCTCCTGCTGCTGTGAAGGTGAAGATGGGAAAGGAAAATGTGGGCTTGTGCTTCTGAAAGAGGGGAAAGGAAAATGTGGGCTTGTGCTTCTGAAAGAGGGGAAAGGAAAATGTGGGCTTGTNAAAATGTGGGCTTGTGCTTCTGAAAGAGGGGAAAGGAAAATGTGGGCTTGTGCTTCTGAAAGAGGGGAAAGGAAAATGTGGGCTTGTGCTTCTGACCATCTCTGCCCATCCTGGGATGTGAAGTGTGATGCCTTGCTGTTGCCTGTTCTTCCTCCCTTTAGGTAGGTGAAGCCAGAGCTCTCTATAATATAGGGAATGTTTACCATGCAAAGGGAAAGCACTTATCCTGGAACACAGCCCAGGACCCGGGCTACCTGTCTCAGGAAGTCAAGGACACACTACAGAAAGCTTCAGAATATTATGAGTAAGTATCCAAGCTTGGCCAGCCCCTTCTCCTGCAGGCAACGGGGCCACTGGCTGAGAATTTGCAGGTTGTAATAGATTAGGAATATTTCCTTGAGATGCCAAGCTGCGTTGGCAAATTAATCTCAAGGAAGGTGAGAAAAGGTCTTTTATAAAATCTGAGCTAAAACTCATGCTGGCACTGGCTTTGTAAAACTTGCTGTGGGTTGAATCGTGGTCGTGCAATGAAGTGCAGCAGTCTGCTGCTTGCCAGAGCTGAACTCCAGCTGCTGTGGCCCCTGCTGCTCTCTGCTGGCCTCTGTGAGGATGGATCCCTGTGTGTCTCCACCCTGTCACCCAAGGGAACATTTGAAGTCCTGGTTCTTCTCAAGGATCTGCACTTTATCTCACTTGTCCCAGCCTTCCTTTTCCTAAATCATTTCAAAGATCGGTCGTGTGCCACATGGGAGGGTTGGCACCAGAATTTTGGGCTTGTGTTTTTCTCCTTGTACTTCAGAGTTCTGCTTTTGTGGTGCAGTATTTTAAAATAGGCTTTTTAAGTGAAGAGAGTGATAAGATCTTACATCCCTCCCCTCATGTCTGAGGATGTGATAGTGCCTTTGAACAGCTCACCACCCTTTTTCCAAGGAGTGGTGCATGTGGCATAGCCAAAGGGAGAAATTGTGCCAGTGGTGAGTGCTCGACCATTCTCTGTGTGCTGTGTGTGTAAAGGGGGTAAAAACAAGATAAAGAAATGCCAGGAGGCTCCCAGAGCAGAGCCCTGGCATTGAACTGTGCATCTGGCCTCTGTCCCTGGAGCAGGACAGGGAAATCCTCTTCCTGTGGCCCTGGTGCTGCAGTGAGGCCATTTCTGATTTAATGTGGGATGGATCAGGTGTGTGAGCACAGGTGTGACACCCATGGCCCGAGGGAGCAGAGCAGCAGGACCTGCACCCTTGGCCGGAGCTGCCAGGAGGGAAATGCCTTCTGCAGGGCTGCCTCTCCTTCCTTCCTCTGCAGGTTCCCACCCGTGTCCCTGCAGGGCTGCGCCTCATGGATGTTCTGCCCTGGTTTCTTTCAGGAGGAACCTGTCCCTGGTGAAGGAGCTGGGGGACAGAGCTGCACAGGGCCGTGCCTACGGCAACCTTGGCAACACCCAGTACTTACTGGGCAACTTCAGCGAGGCCATTGCCTTCCACAAGGAGGTAGGAGACACCTCTGCTCCCTGCCTGGGCCTGGGAGCAGCTTTCCTTCTCACCACAGCACAGGGAGAAGTTTCCCCCAGCTGTTTTCCTCCCTCCTGTGCGAGCCCCAGGGTCTGCCCTGTTGTACCAACTCACACTGAGCAAATCTTACTCCAGCCCCCATCAGCACCTCGTGAGCAGCTCGAGGGAAGGGTGCTGTTGGCTTGGAAACCAAAGGAGGTATCCAAGGGCAAATTGCAGCTGGGTCTAGCAAGGAGTTTTTTTCTGCTCTTAATTTGTCTCAGTCTAGATTTTAATAAATGTGAGCCATGAATTTAATTAAGCTGCTGAAAGAGCTGTTGATCAAGAATAAATGCTGCTTGTAGAACATAATAACTTTTCTGCAAAGCTTTACAGGGAGGTGAGGTGACAAAGTCCCTGCCCCAATTCAAATGCAATTTAGCTTCTGTTGCAGAGTGTGCATCAGTTCCCTCGCAGTGGAAGGTGGAAATCCACTGCTGCTCTGGTTTTTAAATGCTGGGGGGACAGCACTGGGATGCTCCCATCGCTCCCACTCTCCCCAGAGCCTTTCCTGCTGCAGCCCCCCTTGCAGGCAGGTTCATCAGCTCTGGGGTGGGAGCTTTGCAGCCCCGAGAGCTGCTGCCCAGGGGAGCTGCTGCGGGGCAGAGGGGTGTGTGCTGACCCAGCTGTGTCTGCTGCAGCGCCTGGCCATCGCCAAGGAGTTTGGGGACAAGGCTGCCGAGCGCAGAGCCTACAGCAACCTGGGCAACGCCCACATCTTCCTGGGCAGGTTCGACATCTCTGCCGAGTACTACAAGTGAGTGCCAGGGCTGCTCCTGGGGACCCTGAGGTGTCACAGCCAGCCCCCAGCTCCAGGGGCTGTGACAAGGGACCTGGGCTGGCAGGGCTGCTGTGCTGGCCGTGCAGGGTGTTGCTCCAAGGGGTGACTTCCCCGTGGCCTGGCAGTGACCAGGGTCTTGTTCCTGCTGTTTGTTCCCTGTAGGAAAACGCTCCAGCTCTCCAGGCAGCTCAAGGACCAAGCAGTAGAAGCCCAGGCTTGCTACAGCCTGGGGAACACATGCACACTGCTTCAAGACTATGAGAAAGCCATTGAATACCACCTGAGGCATCTGGTGATAGCACAGGAGCTGGGAGACAGGTAAGGAGTGCCTCAGGTGAGGGTGGAGAGCCCTGACCCTTCTCTGACTTCTCTCTTGCTGGGGTTAAGCACCAGTGATGTGTATGCTTGAAAGTCATTAGGCATCTCTGGGCAGCCAGTCCTTAGTCCAATCATCTGTCAAAATCTTGACCTGATTCACCTTTCTCACATCATTCAAACCTGGAGATTGTGCCCTCAGTGCTGTATCTGTGTGGGCTGAGTGAGATTTCTAAGGAGAAAGGTGAAATCAGGTTCAAGAAGATGCATCGAGCTCAGTGCCTTGCCAGTGGCTGCTGCTGTGTTCTCCCAGGAGGGCCTCTCAAGAGCTCCCTTATGCTTACAGAAGTTGTGTTTCCCTTAAAAGCCGTGTGTTTAGGGCACACAGGATGTGCCACTTTGCCCTGTTGCTCTGGGATGATGCTGGAAACCTCCATGTACAGATGATGTTGCATAGACAGAGTGCAGATGATGCATCTTGTTTCTTGGTCTTGCTCCTCATTACTTAGGAGGCTTTGCCTTTTAAATTGTCTTAAATTTTATTTTTTTTTTTTTGAGATGTTGGTTCTTTTCTCCTGGCTGTTCTGATCCTGAGCCCCCTTGCAGCTGAGGTGGTTTTGCAGCGTGGTGTTGAGTTCCCCCGGAGGCTGGGTGTCCTCCACTAGATGGAGCAGGGACACCAGGATGGGAGAGCTGTGCCACCACCCGGGCAGCCTCTGCTCGGGGCAGGCACGATCCCACCCAAGGGTGAATCATGCTGTGGGGGTGCAGGCCTGTGGGCTCCTGCATTTCTGGGAACACACCCTGTGAGCAGAAGGCATTGAACAGGGTGACAAGAAAAACGGTGGAATGCTGATCAACCCGCCCAAACCTCTGAAAAGGGAGTTGCAGTCATGCTGAACCTCCCCCTGCGCCCCCAGGTGCTTTTTTTATCCCTTCTCCCCCCACATCTGCTCGTTTGCAGAGCTGAGCAGGCTCTGGGGAGCAGGAGGCTCTGCCTGCTCCTGCAAACAGCTGCTGAAGCTCCTGGGAGCCAGGCTGGGGGGCTGCACAGGGCATCCCCTGCAGTCCCTGGAAACCTGCAGCAGTGCCCTGGACACCTCGTGGAATCTGTCCCTGTGCCCTGCTGGGTGCAGCTTTGTGCTGTGCTCGCCCTGGTGATGCAGTGCTGGGGCTCAGCTGGAGCTGCTGCCTGCAGAGTTCTCTCCTGGCTGCTTCAGCTCGGGCTGGTGGTGCATCCTCTCAGAGCTGGGTGCTGCATTCTCCCTGTGCAGCTCTGACAGGAGCCCTGGTGGGGTTGGGGGGAGCTGGGCAGGAGCTCTGCTTCTCCCCTCGGGCTGGGGCTCAGCAGGGAAGCCAAACCATCCTGGCCCTAGCTGCAGTGCTTAATTTTGTCCCTGTGGGTACAATCCTGCTTTTCCCAGGCTGTTCATCCCCAGCTCTTGCTGAGCTCAGTGTAAGAAGAGTTTCAAGTGTCCAGCACGCTTCATTTTCTAGCATAGAACCTCTGTGGAGGTGGAAGCAGAGCGAGGAGCTCTGTCAGTGCTCTCCAAAAGGCCCAGCTGGGCTTTGCCCAGCATTTCTGTGGTTTGAAAGTTTCCTGTCCTGCAGGGTGGGAGAAGGAAGAGCCTGCTGGAGTCTTGGAAATGCCTACGTGTCCCTGGGGAGCCACGAGCAGGCTTTGCACTTTGCAAGGAAACATCTTGAAATCTCCCAAGAGGTAAGAGAAGCTGGTGCAAACCAGAGGGAACCTGTGACCCCTGGTGAGAGCGAGACTGTTTTATGCCAAGGAGTTATATTAGTGCAGTTACCTTGCTCTCACTGCTCTGGAAAGCCCTTCCACTGTGCTGGTGTTCTTAGGAGCTGCAGAGCTGGGCTGGAAAACTCTTTAGATGGGAGGCTCCCAGCCTTGCCCCTTATTGCAGCAAACGTGTGAGCGGTACTTTGCTCTCAACCAAAGTTCTGGGTGAGAAAGGACCTTGGGGACTTGTCCACTGGCTGGCCAAGGTGTTGTGCACCCAGAGCAGTGCAGCCTGTGAGATCCCACTTTGCTGAGCACGGGGAGATCCCAGCTGAGCTGGAGCTGCAGTGTCCTGGTGCAGTGGATGCTGTCCCTGATGCGCACAGCCTGTGCCACTGCCACCCCTCCGGGGAGTTGTGTGTGCAGCTACTCTACTTTCTCCTTGGCCTGGTCCAGCTCTCTGCAGCTTTCCTGCCATTTTCAGGAGGCTCAGAAGTGCAGAAAGCCAGAATTCCATTGTTTGCTCTTTTCAGTGTGTTGAGGAAATAGGCTGTGGCCTCTTTAGTCTTCCCCAGATGAAGAAATTGCCCTCTTGAAGCACTAATTGAAATCACCATCTGTAAGTGTGCTGGGTGTTCTCCTGCCTGTCTGTTAGGTTGGCTAAATCTCCGAGTAGGGCTGACACAGCAGCCTAATTACAGATTTAATTATACTTATCAGACACACTGAAGAAATACTGTTCTTTGGCCCTGTACATCTTAGGACTTTCCCAACTCTGCTCAGGCTTGGGCTGAGCCCTCAGAGCCAGGCATCATCTGAGGGCCCTGGGAGGATCAGCACTGGTGGTCTGGGGTCTTTGGGGGTGGAGGGGAGACCCAGCAGGGTGGGGAGTCCCAGTGTTGTCACTGCAGGGTGCTGCCTGTGGCTCCAGCTGTGTCAGGAGTGAGTTCCTCGTGGCACATGGCTGAAGTCCCCCCAGCATGAATTATGGAGCAGTGCAGAGACTGTCCCTTTGACAAGCACCAGGATTTTGGCCAGGAGAAACCTCGTGGAGTCCAATCTTTTCACGCTGATGTTCATAACTCGCTTCACATCACTTTATTCCCAACAAAAATCTAATGGTGGCATTTGACTCCAAATGAAACCAGCTCAGAGTAACCACACTGGAAGCTGCTGCAGGTTGATCAGAGGTTACTCACAAAATCCCACTGGAATAAAGGATCTGTACCTAAAACCCCTGGAAGCTGCCCCAGCTCCAGGACACTGCTCTGGAGTGCTTTTGTCATCTCAGAGTGCAGCTCCTGGGAGGCTGAGGGCAGGAAACAGGGCTCTGCTGGGGTGTGTGTGGCAGCTCCTGCCCGGGGTCATTGTCCTGCCTGTCTGTTCCTGGTTGTTAATAGGGCTTTGGAGATGATCTGAGATGAGTGGAAGTCAGGGAAGCACTTAATAAATGAGCATCAAGGACTGTAAGACCTAACATGGACGTAGTAATTTCTCTGGAGATGATGTCAACAGCAAATCTCCTGTAATTGGCAGGGGGATTTATGCCTGGTGATAAGCCCTTTGATCTGCCTCCCTTTACTGGAGCTTGGGGCTTTGTCATAAATAATGTGCGGATTTATGGGTTTGTTCCATGCTGCAGTCTGTGGCCGGGGACACAAAGGAGCTGTTGCCAGGCATTTAACAGGAGCTGGCCTCTCCAGGGGAGCAGCCAAGGTCTTCCTCTGTCACACAGGCTCTTCCTCTGGAGATGAGGGGCTGTTCTCTGGGTGTCCCCGGTGGTGGGCAGCACAGCCATTCTCTGGGTGGGTTAAACTTGGAGGAGGATCCAGTGTTGTGTCCCACAACTCCTCGTTTGAAGTAGCAGGAGCTGTTGGACAGATCAGCATCCAAACACGTAATATCAGCTTCCTTGGCCTCAGCGAGAGGTGGGAACTGGGGAGAAGTGTGGACTTGGAAAAGAATTTTTGGAGCATTGTGTGGGTAGGTGACTAGGAACAACTCGGAGTTGTGTGGCTGTGAGCCAGGAGAGAAGGGCTTTCGGGGCCCTGGTGTGTGCCCACATGGCTGATGGCAGCGTGGTGTCTGCTGCTCAGTAACTGTGGAAATCCTTGAGGAAGGGGGCTGGGAGTGCCAGGGCTCCCTGCCAAGCCATGGACAGCCCAGACCTGCACGTTTGGGCTCATTTCTGTGGCAGTGGGCGAGCTGAGCCCTCTCTGAGCTGTTCTGAGCTGCAGCACGGCGACCCTCTCCCAATTTATCACTGGAGAACAGTGCTGGGGAGCTGTCTGGCCTCTCAGGTGTCTCCAAGCTCACTTCTGGCTGGCTGTGTTTGATTTTTGGGGGTGAGGCTGGCCAACCCTTGGCTGGGAGCTGTTTGCTTGCCTTTAACCAGTGCCCTGTTGGTTTTCCTGCTGCAGATCGGGGACAGGAGCGGGGAGCTGACAGCCCAGGTGAACGTGGCCCAGCTCAGGGCAGCACTTGGCTTGGGCCCCGGGGAGGAGGACGTGGGGGCAGCTCATCCCTACTCTGCCTACGAGGCACAAGGTGAGTTCCTGGGGCTTTGGTGGCATTGGGAAGTCTCAGGAATTTCGTGGTGTGGGGAGGGGAAGGCGTATGCAAGTGGGCAGGGAACACAAATGCTAGAGCAGAATAAGGCTGTGCAGTGAGTGCCTTCACTACAAAGGGGACTGTGATGGGTTGCTCTGTGCTTTCCATGAGCTGCAAAGGTAGGGAAGGATCCCCAAAAAAGGGCACAGAAGGAGTTAATGGAATTAATCTGCATTGGGAATGACATTCCACATGCCACGCAGCAAACCAGCTTTTGTATCTTTTAAAGCTCTGCAGGGCTCTTTTCTCTGATTTGACTGATACCTGAGGCTTTCAGGAGTGACTGGAAGGGATTTTTGACTGCTCTTGTTCTGATTAGCACCCAGTAACAAGCCCAGGGCAGGAGCTGGAGGCAGGCTGGGACCATCAACACACACTGGGTGACATCCCACCCTTGGAACACCTGCAGCAGTGCTGAACATGGAGACAAGATGTGGCAACCCTTGGTCACAGCAGCCCAAAGTGGCTTTAGTGGCTCTGGGTCACTCTGCCTGTGCTGCCAGGGAGCAGGGTAGCTCAGACAGGTCACCACAGTGCTGCCAGCCTGGCTTGGGGACTGTCCTGGAGCTGCCCACTGCAGGCACGGGTGGGTGCCTGGCACGGGCACTCCCAGCTGGCAGCTCTGTGCTCATTAATTCACACACACTGCATCTCAGGAGGTGTGCACTCATTAAATACGACCTTGTGGCATGGGCACCGTGCCCTGGTGGTGGCACTGAGGTGGAGGGGATGGTGCTGGGGCTGAGGCAGCGTGCCTGGGAGGGCAAGGAGAGGCTGGCTGTGCCTGTGTGCCCTGTATTGATTTTATTTGATAACCTGCTACCTCAATGCTGGAGCTTCTCCTGGTAAATGGAGGTGTGGTGAGGGATCCAGCGTGCCCTGCTGTGCCCCACTGGAGCTGAGCTGGTGCCTCAAATGCTGAGGGGACCACAGCAGCTTCCCCAGGCTCCCTTTGCACCTCATCTCCTCTTGTAACTCCTGCAGAGCTCATTCCTGCCATCTCCTCAGGGGCTGCCTGCTGCCAGGTCCCTTTGTTGTGAAAGGGGAGGAAATGAACCTCAGTGTTGGTGCAGTGTCTGGGTCAGAGCAAGTGTGGATGTGGCCCATGGGCTGCTCAGTGCCTTCTGCAGATCCAGATGTGCTGTGTGAACATCTGGAGGCAGCAGTGCTGTTTCTGAGCGAGCCAGAGCCCTGCAGGTCTGTGTGTGTGTGATCCCTGGAGGCTGGGGAAGGCTGAGCAGCTGCAGGCAGAGCTCTGGAGGTTGCAGTGACCCCGTTAATCCGTGCTGCTCTCACATTCCCAAGGCTGTTTGTTGAGAGAAGGACAAAGTGTTCTTGGGAGGAACAGCAGCAAACAGCTGGGATTTGCAGTGCAGGGGGAGAAGGATCTTGAGAGCAGGTTTCCCCTCTCCAGGTCCTGGGAATCTGCTGGGGAGGTAAAACCCAGCTGTGTGTTGGGTTGGGCCCAGGGGAGGAGTGTGAGGTGACACCTGGCTGGGCTCTCTGGGCTTCACAGGGCTGGCCCTGTCACAGGGGGATGTGCAGAGGGCACAGCCTGTGGAGAGGAGCCTGACTCCTTGATTTCTCCTTCGCTTTTCTCCTTTTCAGCTCCCTTATTCCAAACTTCAGCAGAGGATGAGAGGCCACCAATGTGTCTCTGAGCCCTTCAGGGGAGGGAGATGTATTTGAATTTTGGTACCCTCCTGTGCACCTATTAAATGATTAGAAGAGCGTAATTATTTATATTATTAATAGCAGCAGTTTACAGCCAGAGCAACATCTGTTTCTGTAATAGGAAGCAGGTGAGAGAGTTGAGATTTGAGTTGGCTTCTGAACCAGCCGTGCCTTTTGATGTTGACAAATCTCATGGTGAGGAGAGCTTTCCATTTTTTTTTTTTCCATTCAGATTCTTTTTCCTGCTCAAGGTTACAAAATGGCTGCATATGATGCTAAAATCCTCTGACTAGGCAAAGGTGATAAAAACCATCAGGTACAGGAAAGCTTCCTAGCAAAGGCTGAGCCAGGTTTTCACTGTGGTGTCCTTCACAGGTTACTTCTTGGTCATTGCCCTTCCCCGGGCTCTGGGGGTGGAAGGAGTGGCTGATGTTTCCCTCTGCTGTTCTGGCTCCCCTTGCTGAGCTCTTGATGATTTTAATTAATATTCTGAGAGTATTTGGATGTCAGAAGACAAAGCTGGAGGCCGGGGAAGCGGGGCAGCGCTGCAGAAGTCTTGTGAAAGCAGCGACCTTGTTGAGAAAGGCAAACACGGAGAGCTTAAAGCAACAAACTGAAGGAAGCCGGAGAGGAGCTGGAACATGAAGTAAATAAACAGGGGCTGGGTTTGCTTCTCCAAACAGCCAAAAATGTGGCCCTGAATAAATCTCCTTCTCTTTCACACACTGCAAGCTAAGAGTTGAGTACTGGTAGGCTTTGCCTTGGGAGGGAAGTGAAGGACTTTCCTGTGGCTCCACGGGGTTTTTTTAGGGGTGAAGAGTCAGCACTGGGAGATGTCCTGGGGTGCAGACAGACAGCAGTGGTGCCCTTTGCCAGATGAGCTGAAGCTGCAGATCTGCTCTGGGAGGAGCAGAGTGTGGACTGGGAGCACCGAGCTGACCCTGCCTGGTGGAGGAACCAGTTTGGGGATGCTGCCTTGATCCTTTGGGGATCATGCCAGCTGGGAGGGGAGCACAGGGACTGGGATCCCCCAGCAGCCAGGGCTGGAGGCAGACAGGAGCCCTGGCCCTCCTCAGTACCTCTCCAGAGGGAGAACTGGCTCTGGGCTGCTTTTCTTCTGCTTTCAGCAGCTCCTCAGCCATGACTGCTGGCAGCAGCAGAGTCAGGAGACACGAAACAACCTCAGCTGGCAGCTGGGAGTGCGTGGGGAGGGCTGCAGGTGTTCCAGGAGGCGTTGGCATGGGGATGCTCCCAGAGCTGCCTGCTGGCAGGGTTTGTGCTGTTTGCAGAGCACAGACACCACTGCCCTGCCCTGCTTGCTCTGCGAGCAAACCCAGTGCAATCCTGGAGTACAGGCTGCTCTTACAACTCTGAGTTATTGCTGTGATGCTGGGCACGTGTTTGATTTTGGTTTCCCCCCACACACATGCAGTGGGCATCAGGTTTTCTCTAACCAAGGCTGGAACAAGGCTTATTTACAGGTAAAGCCTTGTCAGTTTGGGTCAGAGGATGAGCCTGACTTCTCCCCTCTGCTGATCTCCTGCTGAGAAATGGTGGGCACGAGGCTGCCCTGCTTGTTTGGTGCTCCAGAGGCTCCTCATCCCTGTGTGAGGCAGCCCTGCTTCAGGTTGTGTTCTGCAGTGGGCACAGCACCCCTCTCCTTCCTGAGCTCTGCTCAGCTCTGTGGGGCTTTGATTGTGGGGCTCTGCAGTTTTGAGCTCATCTCTTCACAGGAATCTTTGAACCTTTGCATCAATCAGACTGGAATAGAAAAAAAAAATCTGCTTTTATGTTTTCCAGCCTGTTTGTTTTTGATTGTTTGCCTGCTTTAAATATCTTTGAAGTACCTAAAAAGTGTTTAGGGCTGATAAACCAGGCAGGATTGACCATCCCTCTGCTGATGCAAGGAGGGAGGTGGTGATGCTGCTCCCCCTGCCAGCCTGTGCCTGGGGCTGGGATGCTGCCCAGCCTCAGGGATGTTCCTTCCCTGTGGTTTGCTCAATCTTCTGCAGAAAACTGTCAGCTGAGGGGTGTGAGAGCAGCATCTTGCTGACAGTGGGCCAGCCCTGCTCCCTCAGGCTGTGATTTCACTGTCTGGGAAGCATTTGCCTTCCCTGGGGCAGAGTCGGGGTCACATCCCCGGCATGGAACCAGCCTGTCCCTACCAGTCACACCGAGAAGTGCAGCAATTGAAAGTGTTTAATGTTAAATATCCTCAGCTCCATCCCAGGAGCTGATGGGCTGCAGCTCAGCCTTTTTTTCACTGTGAAAATGAAAGCCTGAGGCTGTGTTAATTGTACCTGCTGAGGCAGGGGGTGATGGATAAGGTGCTGCAGAAGCAGAGTGGCTTTTGGCCAGGTGGAAGGCAGGATCGGTGGTCTGGTGGCTTTGCTGTGCTCCAGCAGGAGCTCACAGGGAGAGCTGGGGCAGGAAGGTGTCCAAAAGTCCTGTGTGTGGTGGCCCTTCAGGGAGCAGGGCAGGAAGGACAGGAGAGCTGCTTCCACAGGGGGATTCTGCAGTGAAGATTCAGGACTTCTCAAGGATGCCTCTTCTCTATAATGAGTTTTTTCTAAATCCTCTGCTGTTACAGCTGTGAAGTCATTCCAGCAGCACTGGTGGGGGGGATGAACCTCTGAGTCATTTGGATTTTAAACTCAGTAATTTAGCACTCACTTCAGACTGCCCCAGTATTGGCTTTAGGAAGTTTTAAAATACTCTTCCCAAGTATTTAACGCTCCTCTCTCATCCTGCTGTGCACATGAACCTCCTTCCCAGCATTGGTGTAAAATACAGCAGGAGTTCTTGGCTCACAGCAGAGGAAATGCTCCAGGACTGGAGAAGATGATGTTGTGCTACTGAAATTTGTTTTATCTTGATGCCAGGGGAGATGGCAAGTGCTGGAAAAAGGGATGAGGAACGGGCCAAGCCTTGAAGCCTGTGGCAGAGAAGGCACAACGTGGCTTGTGGCAAAGCCATCCATTCAGGATTAAATCTCTTGTTGTGGGGAGGGAGAACTTTTTGGAAATCCTTGGTTCTGGGAAGGCTGAGGCTCCCTTTGGCTGCAGTTGCAGACTCCAGCAGCACTCCCAGCTCTGCTGTGCTGTCTGGTTCCTGAGTGCACCTTCCCCAGACAGTTCCCCTTGGTGGCTGCTGGGTGGGAAATGCCCTGGCAGTGCTGCTGCTCTGGCCAGGAACAAGATTCCTCTGCTTGCTGTGCCTTTTATGCAGCACAGAGCAAGAAAGGAGAAGGGGGAAATTCTCTTTCTTGCCCAGCTAGAATTTCTTTTTCTCCCTTAAATCTTTCTGTATGGATGGCCACGCTCTGCTGTGGCATTCCTGTGAGCAGGGCAAGGCCAGACCCTCAGCAGAGTCCCTGTAATCTCTGGGGTGACCTCAGGACCACCCTCCTTCCCTGGCAAGAACAGCCAGGCTTGGCTTAGAAAAGCCCCTGGCAGAGCTGAGAGCCCAGTCCAGCGTGTTCCAGGAGCTGCTGGCTGATCACAGCAGCACCCAGGAGGAGGGATCACGTACATTCCCCCTCTTTTTTAGAGGATTTTACTGTGGGTGTTTGATGGCTGCTAAGCTGACACGTGGCTGCTCCTTCTCTGCCCTCCCTGAGTCAGTCTGGAGGACAAAATCGTGTCCTTGGGCTCGTCTGGCTGCTGGAGATGTTGCCCCTGTTAATTATTGCGTGTCATTTTGCAGCTAAACCCTGGTTTTGATCTCTGCTTGCTCAACACCAGCTGATAATGGGTGGTGGGAGGTCATGGGACTCTGCTGTATCCTGGAGGGAAAATCCTGCCCTCAGGAGCGAGCCAGGTGTGGCTGCCAAGTCCATCTCACCTCTGCTGCATTAGCCCTGGGGTTGTGAGCCTCCTGCTCCACCCAGCTCAGCCCAGCTCCCAAAACATCCTTCTGTCCCCACAGCTGCTCCTCTCTGACTGCCGGGGGGGTTATGGTGACAGGAGGCTGTACCCAACCTTCCCACAGCCTCCAGGCTTGTCTTTGCAAGTGTTTTCTGAAAATACCCCTCCTGAATATTTCATTCTATGACCCAAACTGCCGATGTTTTGTCTGCACATCTGGGGCAAAACTGAAAGATGTGCCCAACACCACAGCAATTACTCAAGAGTTGTAACACTACAAATAAGATCCTTGTGTATTCCAAGACTGCAGCTTTCCTACATTGAGTTTACATGTACTACGGGGGTAAATACATAACAAATAAGAAAAAAAAAAGTAGCTCCCTTGTGCCATTTCTACCTGCAAGGAGGACTCTTTTTCCATGTGAATGTGAGGGCTCTTTGGCCAGTGATCCAGAGCATCTCCTCATTCCCTCTCTCCATCCGAGGAGCCTCTGTGCCAGCTGCTCACCCTGAGTGCAGGCAGCAAATGCCCCAGGGCTCTGGGTGCCGTGTGGATGTGCAGCACTGCTGTTATTTGTTATTTCTGTTATTTTCAGCCCGTTGCTCAGCTGTCAGGCTGGATTGTGGAGATGCAGAACTGGGCTGACACAAACACAGAGCATCTTCTGCCAGATCAGCCAGACGAGCATCTTGATGCAAAGGGAACTTTGTGTTGCCACATATTGTGTGCAGCTTTTGTAAAGGAACAGTTTTTCCACAGAAGAGAAAACTGCAGGATTCTTCTTCTGGAGCAGGGCTTTGTTGTGCTCAGGGCCTGTTGGGAAGTTGGGATTTTGCCTCCCAGCAGAGCAGAGATCATTCCTGACCTGGTGGTTCCCAGTTCTGTATCCTCAGACACAGAAGGGCCCAGAGCTGTTGGGATTCCCTGGTCCTTCCCTGCCTGCAGGACCAGGCTGAGCAGATGGTCCTTCCCATGGATGGGCACACAACAGCTTGGCACCAGCGTTTTATGGCCCAGTCATGGTAAATAACTGATATTATTTGCTTTCTCTATTTAGGGAAAAGTATTGTTCTACCCCAGTAGCAACTGGGAAAACAAATGCCACCATTTATCAGCCGAGTGCTGACAGTAATAGAGGTCAAGTGGATTTATGGTGCCAGAACCCATTATGTGTTTGAAGACTAATTAAAGCATTAAATGAGATGCTTGTCCTACTGGAGGATGCTATATTTTTTCCCCCCTTGGTTCTTTTCCCGTTGCTGTTCTTGTTTTCCCCCTCCCCCTTCCCTCTTGAAGAGCTTTGCTGTAATAATGGAGCACGAGGCTGACAGAGCTGCCCTGATTAGATGTCAGCAGTGTATGATTTGAGGTGCTCTGGGAGCACTGGACCATGTCTCCACTGTCACTTCAGGGCTGGGAAGGGTTTCCAGACCAGCATTCCACCCCAAACAAGGGGCTTGGCTGCTCTGCTGTGATTATCTTAAGCAATATTTGGAGTTGTCTGCCAGGTTCAAGGTTTGGGTCAGTACCACGGGAGGGAGGTGCTGTCCAGGGCTGGGAGAACTCGCCCAAAACCAAGTCACTCTCCTGGTTAATGCAGGTACAGTGGAAAATGACCTTTTCATGAGAATGCAGCAGGTCCTGACGTGGGATTTGCTGTGTTTGGGGTGCCCAGCCCGTGTTGTGTGTGCTGTGGGCAGCGGGGGCTGATGTTGGCTCCACAACCTTTCCCTGTTGTTTTCCATGGAGTCCCCTGTCAGGTTGAATTCTGCCTGTTCTGGCACAGCCCCCCAGAGGGATCCAGCCTGCTCCAGCTGCAGATGCAGACCTGGTGCTGTGTCTGGGTAGGGGAGCTGTGGGAGAGGGGGCAGAGCTGGGGCTTATCAAAGCACACGTCAGCCTGGTGAGAGCTCCTGCCAGGGCTCCTGAGTTGCTGCTACACATGTTCAGCTCAATTTTGTCAACTGCAATCTCTTGGGGATGGAGCCTGTCCACGCAGGAACAAAGCTCTGTCTGCCCAGCCTGCCCGAGTGCTCCTTTCCATGAGATGATCCCATCACCATCCTTGATGAGCCTTCCTTGTGTTCCCTGTGGCTGCAGATTAAAGACAAGGATGTGAAAACCGTTAAAGCTGCCTCAGCAAACAAACTGCAAAAGCAAAATTAAAAAAAAATTTTAAAAAAATATCCTCGGTTTGTGGTGCTGTTGACATCATAGATGGGGAGGAGGAAGAGATTTTGAAAAAAAAAATATTTAAAAAAGGAACAACACCCCTGAAAAGAGCAACATCCCAGGAGCTCCAGGAAAACAGGGCATGAATGCAGCCAGTCAGGAGCATTGCTCAGCTGATGTTCACAAGAAGGTTTCAACTTGCTCTCTTTGAGACCTCAGTAAACCTCCAAGACAGAGGGAGCATTTAGAAAGGCCCCTGAGGTTTTCCATTTCTCTGCAGCAGGCTTGGTCAACATGCCAATAAATGCTGGGTGGAAAAAAAACTTTCCAGAGAGGCAGAGCTGGGTTTGCAGCTGCTCAATCCTTCACATCCCTGGTTGCTGCTGTGGCTCAGCCCTGGGGAGAAGGAGGCAGAGCTCAGCTTTGGCTGAGCATTAAGTGGTGCTGCAGGTATTTCTGGGGAAAATCAGTTGGGAGAGGCTGGAAGTGACATCTGGAGCCATCTGAGGGAATGGAGACAGAAGGATAGCGGGACTGCTGCCGTTGGACACTTGTGAGTATGGAAAGCTCTGCTCTCCTGGAAGGTGCATGAGGACATGTGGGATGAGAAGGGGAGAAGCTCTCACACATCTGCTGGGAGTTGCTGCTGGTGTGGATCCAGTTTCCTGTAGCCCTGGGTGACAGGGACCCTCCTAATGCTGCTTATTTTTAGTGCTGGTGAGTGGGGACAGTGCCCCCAGCACTGGCTGGGATTTCTGGAAGAAACAGCGGAGTTGGATGAAGTTTTTTGTAATTCTGAACTTCTTCCTCTCTCAGCTCAAGAGTGTGCAAACCCCAGACAGTCGTGGACAGCCACCAGCATCAGAGCAAGAGAAAAAGATGAGTTGTTCTGCTGCCCGTGTCTATTACATTAACAGCAGGCAGGTTTTCTCTGCTTGGAGATTAATGGCTGCTGGCCAGCAGTTCAGTGCTCTGGGAACACACAAAAGCACCTGAGGATGGAGGTGTGTAATTAATGGCTCTTTAGACAGCTGGAAATGATGTGTGTTTATCTAACTGGGCACACTTTGCTGCTTTCTTGCTTTCCTGGAAGTGGCTGTTAAACAGAGCCGTGACGCACACTCACTTCCAGGGGCTGGGCTCGCCTCTGAAGCCCAAATGTGCCTCTGCTTGGGTGTCTGGAGGTGACTTTTACTCCAGATCCACCTTGCTGCTGTAGGTTATTCTGAGGGAAGCCACGAGCAGCTGGAGCAGTGTCCAAAGGGTGTAACTGGGAGCCCCTGGGAACAACCCAGCACTGCTTTCCCCTCCTGCCTGAGCGACGTGGCAGCACCCAAAAGTCCTTCACCCATCCCACAGCCATCTCCTCCACGCTGAGGGTGGTGGTGCAAAGGGAGTTTTCTTCAGGGATGGTGTTGTTGGGCATCAGAAGGGGCTGCCCAGGGCGTCACCACCCCTGGAGGTGTTCAGGGAGTGACTGGACGTGGCACTGAGTGCTCAGATCTGGTTGGCAGGGTGGGAATTGGTTGGGTTTGAGTCTTTGAGGCCTTTTCCAGCAGCAATGTTCTGAGCTGCTGGCAGGTGGGCCCCTGGCTTTGTGTGGAAGGGGATGGGTTTGGGGGGAATGCTGAGTGCTCGTGACGTGTGTTCAGTGTCTGTTCTCCACCTCCAGCCCTGATGTCAGTCCCCCTGAACTCAAAGCCTGGTAATGAATCACCTTAAAACAAAGCTGGTGCTGGTGTGCTTCTTGGAGGGGAGAGGCAGGAATGTGCAGCAGTGTTTTGCTGATTGGAATCTTTATGGCTGTGAGCAGAAATCCCTTCAGGATGGCAAGGGGCACAGACATCAGCTGCAGGTCCCTCATGGCCAAGCTGTGATGTGTGTGTGTGACCCTTGCTGAGCTCCCAGCTGATCTGAGCTTGTATCTTGTGGAGCTGAGCCTTCCAAAGCAGTGCTGTCCTTGGAGCTGGTGCAGTTTGGATCCAGCTGTGGTGGCATCTGGAGCTCTGGGTGTGCCGGTGGAGGAATCCCTGGAGCCTTCTTCCATTTAATCCCCGTGCTCTGCTTTCAGCCAGCCTTCATCTGTGAATTTTGTGCCTTTTCTCTGTTAGGTTTGCCCAGTGAGCAGCCCTGTGGCCCCCTGAGCTCGGAGGGGCCCTGGTGCTGGGCTGGGGGAGCTGAGGAGTGGAGGCTTTGGGGAGCTGGCTGCTGCAGGAACCACTCGAAGCTCCGTGGTTTCCGTTCTCAGGGCTCAGCACAGGGATCATCCCTCCCCCAGGATTTCCCCTCGAGCTTGGAAGGTGTCACAGGACCCTGAGTGCAGCGTTTTGGGCTGTGCCCTGTGGGGATCAGCTCAGCTGAGCCATCAGGGAAGGGCAGAAGCTTTCCCAGGTATGCTGAAAGCATCCCAGGGCCATTTGGTACATCCTGGCTGTTTGTCAGCAAGGCAAGAGCAGCTGGGAGGAGGCTGAAGGGAGAAAGAGGGTAAAGAGGGTTTACAAACCAGGAGTCAGAGCTGAACTGTGTTTCACCCACTCTGTTGTTGGAATCAAACATCAAAATCTTATGAAATCTGAAATAAATATCATAACTCCTTCCAAGTTTTGATTCCTCTTTCAGGTTCAAGGCAAGATTTTGTTCCCCTTAAGGCTGAGGCTATGATATTTATTAGTTAGAAAATATTTGCTCCTTCACTTAGTTTTCCAGCCTGTGTGACTACAGAGAAAAGCTCAAAGTTGAGTCTCAGAAACATTCTTTCATCTAAAAACATGATGATAAAGCAGAAAATCCACAGATGTATTAAATTGTCTATTTGTTATGATTTTTCTCAATGCCAGTCCCATGACTTTTGTGGTTTAGGGTGAGGTTTGTAACTCCTGAATTCCAGAGATCTTGTCTGAGATCGGGGTCGTGGTGTGACCTGGCTGGAGCTTGATAGCCAAAGCCTCAAACTGCTTTAAAAAGACACAAAACAATAAGGAAAAAAACCCTAAATTTGAATCTCAAGGCCAGCACAGCTGCATCATCCCACCCCTTTGACTTTTAGTTAACCAGAGCAGAAGATCTGCTGTGGTTTAGGTTCTCCCTGTGTGACATTTGTGCTGTTGGTGACACCCCCCTGATGTGAGAGTGTTGTTTTGCAGGAGCCAGGCCAAAGAGACTCCAGAGGAACAGCATGGACAGCTTAGACTTCCTCAAGTTCCCTTCTGAAAAGGTAAGCAAAGATGTCTGGCCTCAGAGATTGTCAGTGGGAATCTGTGCACAGATTCCAGTGGGTTTGTTGTTGCCTGGCTTCATTTGCAGGGAAATATGCAATTAGCAGATATCATTGGAGTCAATGGGATTAACCAAAGAGGGTTTCTAGAGAGCTTGGAGGAGAGGAACAGCTGGTCTGACTAAAAAGGCACTTAACACTCAAAGCTGAAAAGTCACTTCTGGGCTTTTTTTGATAAAAAGCAGCCCTTTATTGGAAGGATCATGGTGAGCAGCTTAGCCCCTGAGTGGCTGCCAGTGCCTGTCACCCCAGTGGAGCGGCACAGGGGATGGAGCACTGCAGGAGGGTTTGTTCCAGGGTTTGTTCCAGGGGCTCCAGGGGTTGCTTTGCTCCTGGGAGTGTCAGATCCGAGCAGATCAGCTTTTCCTCTCTGTCCCAGGGCTGCTCCTGCAGCAGCTGGAGGCACTGAGCCCTTCCAGCCTCAGGGATCATTTCAGCCTCTCAGAAAATCCTGCTGGAGGGCTCAGCCCTGCCCCTTCCCAGAGGAGGTGGCCAGGCCTGCAGCCGTGCTGCCTTTTTGGATTGTTTTTGACACAAATCATCCTCATTCACCCAGTGCTTTCCAGGCACAGCATTTACAGAACTGTCACAGAGAGAAAAAGCTCATCCAAGCTGCAGGTGGGTGCAGGCAGTGGGAAACAACCTGAGGCTTGAGAAACCATTTAGGTACCTAAAAACCCCAGTAAATACTGGGAAGGCCAGGAAAAAGCTCGTCCCTGAATTAACTCTCTTTGGAAAAGAAATTCCAAATGTCCTGATGTATATTTATCAATTCTCCCAGTGCCCCTTGGCTATTTTGGCTTTCCTGCTCTCACCAACGTGACTCCATCTCTGGGCTGTCGATGGCAGGGACAGCAGTGCCCAAGGTCAGGGGACAGTGGCTCAGTGTCCCCAGCAGGGCAGCACAGCCCTGGGGGCTGCCCAGGGGCTGTGGCTGGCTGCTCCTGCTGATGGTTTCCTGCTCTTTGCTCTAAGAGCTGAGCACCACCCCATAGTTCAGGCAGGCTCATGGATTTTGGGGGTTCTGTGGGGAGCTCTGAGCACTCCTGTTCCCCTGCAGTGTCCTTGGGAGGGTGTGAGCTCACCTCTCCTTCAGAGTGTTCTGGGTGCAGTTCCTCTGCTCTGTCCCACTGGGTTACAGCCCTGGGAGAGGCTCCTGTGCTTTGTGCTGTGGTGGGAGTGAGAAGGAGAAAGGAGTAAACCCACGGAGTGAGCCCTGACCTCTCCAGCATCCTCTCGGTGTTGTCTCTGCCAGAGGTGCCTTCCAAGCCAGCACAGCCCCCTGGTGCCACATTTCCAGGATTCCCTGTCCCGTGCCTCTCACAGAGCTGTGTTGAGGCACAGGAACACCCACCTTGGTTCTGGAGCTCCAGCACACTGCAGGAATGCTGCTCCCTGCCCACCCTGCTCCCCCCAGTGTGTCTCTTACTCCTGCATTTCATCTCCTCTGGTTTTATCTCCCAAACTCTTGTTTATTCCTTGTTTATACCAGACTAAAACCTCTTTCTCCCAGGCTGGGTTTCACCCTGAAGGTGCTGTAATTGAGTCATCTCTCCTGTTGTCATGCACTGAGCACTGTGAGGGCTCCAACCAAGGCACTTTCTACTTCTGATTTATGTTCCTGTGGCTGCTTTTTAAGATGTGGACACTGGCCTGGCTGTGCTGGTGCCATCAACATGGCAATGAATCTTCCTTGTTCTCACAACTCCTGTTTGGGATCTGTGTCACCTCAGTTTCCCCACACCTGGGCTGTATTTCAGTGCTGCATTTCTGTGTCTGTGGGAGCACGGAGCACGTTAAGTGGGTAGGAGCCAACAGAGCTCCAGGAAAACCTGAGCCAGGCAGTTGCTGCAGTGACTCTTCCTTGCTTTCCCAAGGAGCAGAATGGGGACAGCCACCACGTGGGAGAGCTGAAGATCTCAGGGAAGGAGTTCTTGTCCTTCCCTGCCAGAAGCAAGCCCCGGGAGCAGCAGCCCAGCTCGGAGAGGAGCCCGCAGGGATCGAGTGCCTCCCCTCAGGGTGCTGGGGAGCTCCGAGTGCAGGTGCCACAGTCGGTAGGAAGATGATTTTTAATCTCCAGTGCTGATCTGGGAGTTCCTCATCTTTGTTCTTACCTCATTTCCAGCCGGGCGTGGGGGTGGCAGCGGGGACTTCTGGATGGAAAAGAGATTGTGTAGCTGTGCTCTGTTCGTTGGCTGTGGGCAAATCCTTTTGTTTTTTTCAGTCCTTTCAGCAGAGCTGTGGTGTACCAGTCTCCATCACAATCTGTGTCTCAGTGGTGACATTTATAACCTTCTCTTGAGGGACAGGAGTCTAGAGCTGAGTTGAGGAGTGTCAGGATGTGATGCCTTGAATTCCAGAAAAGCACAGCAGTTTGGGTGCTTTGTGGAGCTTGAATTGGTCAGCTCCTGGAGTTCATCAGGAGTGGGATTGGTGCCTTCAAAAAGCAGAGCCCTTCCCAGGCCTTTGGTGCTGATTGCCTTTGGCAAATGTGGGACTGTAGATGTTCTACCTCGTGTTCTGATCACACTGGTGGTCAGTGTGCAGAGTGGTCTCTTAGAATTCATCAGAGATGGTAGAAATCATCATCCAGGAGCTTTTCTTTGGAAGCAGCAGAGATGGAGCTCATTTCCTCAAGAG